ATTTAAACAGAGTTTTTGAATTTGGCATAAGCCCATGATGCATAGCTATCATAAAACTCACATTCATTTAAACAAATTTCACCTATTATTTCCTCGTTTCATTTGATATACTTAAAGGTACTGTTGTATTGACTGCACATACCGTATTTTACCGCAAATATAAGCCCCCTCTCACAAATAAGCCCCCTCTCACAAATAAGCCCCCTCCCCACTTTGGTAAATGTCCTTGGAACAGGGTGGGTGCCTGCAATTAAGCCCCCTCCCTAATTTTGTCTCCAACTCAAAACAAATTCTGTTAATGTTTGTCTCTGACATAAGCAAATTAGCTAAATGAATGCAAAACAACATAAACCCAAGTTTAAATATTACAAATAACTTTGTTTCTGAATTGGGCACAAAAGTAAATAGCATGTACTGACATGTACTCTTTACTGAGTACTGTGATTCTGCATTGGGTTTTTTATAAAGAATTATGTATTCATGGGTGAATTAAAGATAAATCTTATAACACAAGATTATGGAATATGATGTAAACAACAAAATATCAAGATATCTAGATGGCTTAACTTAAAACAAAACATCATTCTGTTGCTGAAAGAACACCATGCTTTCGTTTTTTAACCGGTTGTGTATTTTGCAGATTTTAATGTAAAACGAAACATGTTGCTTGTACCAAATCCTTTACATCTAAAGTCTGAACTAAAGTAGCAAATTATGAATACATTTTAAAATACATACACGATTGATGCACCTTAGGACACCTTTTTCTTTAGCCTTATTGTCTATCTACACAAAAAAAAAGGTATTCCCTCAACCAGAATACAACACAATGTGATGGGATTGTAATAAAATACAATATGAGCAGCTTTTTTCATCATACTGCCTGTGCTATTTAGTCATTTGTAATTTGAAGTATCTGATAATGAATTATTATAACATTTGAAAATGCTGACAGTCAGCGGGAGTTTGTCTTCAAAGTCATACAATATCAGACAACGTCAAGATTATGAATATAAATGAAAAAGACATCTAACAACTACAAATAAATGATATTGTAAAGTAATAGTTGATCACTTGGAGTCAGATCATCAGTGAAGTTTACTTTTTGAATGTTTTTGTCAATGATTGAATGAATTTAAACCAGTAAACTTTTTTTTCAATTACTCACATCTGTTTTTTTAATCCCAATGTTTGTCAGAGAAATGGTGTCATTGCCATTAGACAGATATTGTACTTGAGTTTATGTTTAAGAAAACCTAAGCTTATAAAAATACATGTATGTACATAAACAAAACTGGTTTCATTTGTTTGTTAGCATAAACATAAATTGAAAAAAACTTTTTGAATCATTCAACAACTTTGAATTACTGTATAACATGAAATGTTCGTGGGTATTTTCTTTGTGGTTTAAAGACATTTTTTAAAGTCGGTTCGTGGTACAAACTTTCCTGGATTCATCATATACACAAAGTGTAGAAATTCAATTTGTTGTATTCATTAACGTGGTTCCGTAGCCTCCACAAAAACCACGAATGTTTATATACAACAAACATTCCACGGTATACAGTAACTTTTCTTGGCTGAGCTCTCAACTTAGGTACCAGCCAAAACAGCACACATTTTCAACATTTTCTAAAACTTTCATAACACACTGAGTGAGTGAATGCCATCATAAATAGGACATTAATTAAGAAATATGTTATTAAGATGTTGACATACATAACCTACTTAATAAAAAAAAAACCAGTCATGAACTGCCTTTAAATCATAACCCATTCACCCCTAAAAGCCAAATTTGAACCTAACCAAATCAAAGGCTGGGCAAGTCCAGTTCAGATATGTAGGGGTGATTAAGTTAAGTCCATTCCTAGCTACTTTCTCAAGACACATTCAAACATATCAGGTCCAAAACTTTAAACAGGGTGGACCTTCATAAATTATTTAAATCTGTTTCACCTGCTAAAATGTTAAGCCCCTTGCAGGTGAATAACTCAGATTTTGCATAAACTTAATCATACATTTCTATGAAACACCTATAAAATAACTAGGGTCAGTCTATGCCAAATTACCTATGCAGACAACAGAACTGATCCTAGCTGTATAAGACACCACCTCGAATGAAGTGTGTCTTTCGTAAGTTTTCTTCAATAAATGCTGATACCTATTTATGCAACTAAGCAGACTGGATCTTTGATTGCTGATCCAACAGATATGATACCGCCTTCCAGAGGCTGGCCTTCATCATACCATGCATACCAGTACAGATCTATTACAATAATTACGTATATATATAGCACCAACTATTGGTAGCGTAAGTGTGCATTAAGAATTAATTACAATAAACTAGATTTTAAATCTTCTGCGTACATCAATCTATCAATATATATTAAAATTCAACATGAAAAGATGATTATCCAGATCAAGGGTAACACATTAATTAAGACAAATAGAATGAAAGTGACCTAGAATCGTTAGTGTGTCTAGACACCATTGCTTAAACTGCTCTCTCCTAATAGACAACATAATTATGATAAATAAATGATGGATGCAGCACATTCTTACCTCTCAGCGTGCTTAAATCTTTTATTAAATTGATTCAGTATTTCACATACCTAGCACAGTTCCTTTAAATTGGGTCAAATATATACACAAATTTCATGGTCATGTTTTTAATTATTTTGGAAGAGCACTGCTTAACAAACCAAACCAAGATGGCCACCAACAAGTTCTGCCAAAATTTGGAAATAGTTCCAGTTTTGGTTTTTCTTCTTTACAATTTTAAGACTGACTTTATGAAATTACCAGATGTAAACGAATAAGTTATTATAATAAGTTATAATAATAACTTAAGAATAATTTAAAATATAAACTTTATTCATTTAACAGCAATCATGAAACACGTTATATCAACTTATAAACTAATCATTCTTGTTGGCCCAAATATTAGTGCGCAGGGGTCTTAATGTTGGAGGAAACTGGAGTACCCAGAGAAAACCCTTGTGTACTGGTAGGTGACCCAATACCTTTTCATGTCACATCGGGGAATCAAACATCCAATGTGCCACAGAACCACCCTAATATAAACGACCTTCATAAGGTTACAACTTCTTTGACCTTTCAATAATATTTATAACAAGGTATATATTGACCACGTGCTTCCACTTAATTTTCTTATGAAGAAAAGTTCTATTATTTAATACTTAGAGTGATATGTATGTCAAATATTATATAGAAATCCATTCAAAGTCAGGCACACATGAACAATGATTATGATTAAATCTTCTTGTATGAATCAAGATAAGTTTTTTCAACAATCATTTCTAAAATGTTCTAAAATATGAATAAAAAGGTGATTTATGATTTGTTCCGTCATTGTACCTAAAACAGGACAGTTTTTGGTCGCTAAATATTGACATATTTTTTACCATAGTATAAATTCCAGACATGTTTCTTCATTTTTTATGAAAAGATATCATCCACCTTTATTTTATCAAGTTATTTTTCTCTCATTCCAACTACCAGAATAAGCTCAGAAACCATGAAAATGCGTTTGGACTGGTCACCGTTTTGAAAATATTAATTTATTTTAGACGAAAAAGACTCAGCCAGCCAAATTTAGCATATCCCATATTTGCAACAGAGTTTGCGCAGGAAAATTAATCACATCTTTCTAATGTGTACGGTTAATATATCGTAAAAGGTTTTAATTTCATCATGTCGCCTTTTCCGCATCGGGGAGTTCCAAATCTTACACACATATATTACAATATGTTAAAGTTAATATTAAAGTTACATATTAGAAAGATGAGATTAACTATTCTTCACAACTTCTGTTTGCAAATAAGGGTATGCTAAATCTTGCTTACAGATAATTGATATTTCAAAAACTGTAGCCAGTCCAAACACATTTTCATGGGTTCTGAGCTTATTCTGGTAGTTGGAATGTGAGAAAAACACTCTTTCATGCCAAAGGGTGTGGGAAAGGGAAATGCCACCCTTGGGATTTTCAAATTTATTAAAACCCCTATGGTAGAAATTTCCCTATCCAGCACCCCTGGGCATGAAAGAGTCTTATATTCTTGCATATCATGCCAATTCCCTGAGCTGCTTTCCCACAAGTGTCCCCGTTTTGGGTACTGTCCTGTTTGGATACATTGACATCAGATGGATGAATTTTATTGCTTCATCATAAAACCTGATCCAGCTTGTAAAAACATACACTAACAGTAATTCATACATCTCTTTAAATAGTATTTAACAATAAAAATTTCATCAAAAAACATCATTATAAAAGAATTTTAAACATGTTTACCTACATGTAACATGGAACAGCATTCTATTTAACAACTGACTTTCCGTCATAATAAAAATTGGACAAACTCAAATCAGATACAAATCATGTGACACTATGTAACCAATCAGAGATAGGCTGACCTCTTGACCTTTCATTTGGCCCTCTAATGTGACCTAATGATTTCGCTTTATGTCCAATTAACAACTATGGTCATTTGGTCAACTAGCGGCAAGTGCCTGGTGACAGCCCCACGTAGGCCTCAGACTCGATCCTAGATACTAGAGTACAGTATTTAGACCATGTATTGTCAAAAGGCTGGGTTCTCAGCTGACCTTGGGACATTATAACTTTTGTTAAATACTCTTAAAGACAGCACAAGACTGCAGGTCCACTTTTGTTCCTGTAAACTGCAATTCAGAAAGTCTTCTTGCAAAATCCTTGGATAATAAAGTACAACTGCAGTTCGTCTTCTTGTTGATTCATTGAACAATAAACTGCAGTTGGTTTTCTTGTTGATTCTTTAAACTATAAGCTGCAGTGGTCTTCCTGTTGATTCATTTAACCATAAACTGCAGTTGGTCTTTCTGTTGATTCATTGAACAATAAACTACAGTTGGTTTTCTTGTTGATTCTAAAAAAAAAAAAGTGCCTCAAACTTGTAATCTTAAAAGTGGACTAAAATACAGCTACAGGCAGAATATCAGTGCATTGAACAATAAACTACAGTTGGTTTTCTTGTTGATTCTTTAAACTATAAGCTGCAGTTGGTTTTCTTGTTGATTCTTTAAACTATAAGCTGCAGTGGTCTTCCTGTTGATTCATTTAACCATAAACTGCGGTTGGTCTTCCTGTTGATTCATTGAACAATAAACTGCAGTTGGTTTTCTTGTTGATTCTTTAAACTATAAGCTGTAGTTGGTTTTCTTGTTGATTCTTTAAACTATAAACTGCAGTGGTCTTCCTGTTGATTCATTTAACCATAAACTGCGGTTGGTCTTCCTGTTGATTCATTGAACTATAAGCTGTAGTTGGTTTTCTTGTTGATTCTTTAAACTATAAACTGCGGTTGGTCTTCCTGTTGATTCATTGAACAATAAACTGCAGTTGGTTTTCTTGTTGATTTTTTGGACACTAGTCGAGACATGACCATGCAGTATTGTGAAGGGTTCATGGGTCAGTGATTATTGGTCAGTAGTCAGACTTGTGGTAAGAGGTCAGGGAAACGACTGATAGGCGATTTTTTAAATGTTTGTGAGCTAAAGAGGAATCCAATGTCACAAAGGTCAAAGGTCAATGTTGAACATAGAGAGGGATGCAGGGAGCAAATATCATAAAAGCCAGGGGTCAAGGGTTCTTAGGGGTTAGTGATCTCAAAGGTTAAGAGTGATGGGATATGCTGTCAGGATTAAAGATAAAATTGATAAAGATCAGAGATGGCAAACCTATATGTTGAGAAATCAAAGATTATATTGGTCAAATATCAGGAATGAGGTCAAAAGTCAGAAGTCAAGAGGTCACAATTCTGTGTGTTTGCCCCCTCCACTGAGGCGTGGTCCCTTCTTCCTCTCCTTCTTTTTCTTACTTTTACTTTTTTGTTTACTGTCCGTGATCCTCATCTGTGACAAGGAAGATACAAATATATAGCAATGAATTATCTTCAGACAGGATAAACAAATATTAAAACAGCTTCCAACTTTTCAGGTATTGTAATATACAATGTTACAGTACAAAATATAAATCTCTCTCTTATAATATTTATTGTACATGTAGTAGGATACTGGTAATTCTTTGTTAGACTATTAAGTCAATTAAGGGCAATGAAACTACCACAATAAGGTATTTACAGCACCTTAGGAAGTGTAGGACAGGAACAAAATACAAACAGAAGGATAACTGAATAGCATGATTCCAAATTTACAAAAAAAAAATGGGGGGGGGGGGGGTTTTTTTTTTTTTTAAAAAAAAAAAAGGGGGGGGGGGGGTGTATTTTGTTTTTGTAAAATATGTTTTATTGATATAACAATGATTATTATAAAAACTTGTATAAGTCACACTTGTAAGTCCAGATGGAGTCACCTGGTGGGTCTTAATACAGAAGAAATCACGGAGTACCAGAGAAAGAACCAAGGCCTTAGGGTCAATCCGGTCAACTAATGAGTATAAAAAACCAAGCAATCTTTCCGAAACTGTAAAAAAATGGCTAAATTACTCTAAGAGATCAAAAGTTACTGCACTCCTGTTCTTAGGACAGGGTTCAACAAATTACAGGGGTCACTGACACTGACCAGAGGTCAGAAGAGGTCAGTCCTTTGAGATGGACCATTACCGCCAGTCTGCTATATTGACTGTGATGCCCCAGTGTGGGGGTCAGAAAGAAACACCTGGTTTGTATGGAGCTATTACCACAAACATTAGGTCTGACATGTTATGGTCAAGGTGTTAGTACAAATTGATCCTGCAGTTTCACCCTATGGTGACCCCGTGACCCCACAAACTGTGTTACACTGCAGGTTGTGAGGAAGCAATTTTTTTTTACAGGCTACTGAAATGACATGTTTCCTTACTTGACACATTGTCTCAGCATGATGCTGTATAACCTGTCTGTTCTGACATCCTGTATAATCTAGCATAATGCTGAAACCCTATGTCTTATGGAAACAACTAAACATGTCCTGTATAATCAGACATCCTGTCTTATCTGACCAATATATTGAATTCAAAAGGGTGATGGATTAGACAGGTAAATCTATCCAACACGTAATGTCCCACAGGAAGTCAGATAAGACAGGTTTAACTGTACATCCATCTAGGAAATGATATCAAAACAGGTTATAAGCCATTCCATAAAGAATTTCTCTAAAATTCATAAAGCATTTGATCCCTATGACATTGAATGTTGGCCATGCTAATTCATTTAAAGATGTTATCCCAAGCGAGCTACAGTTTAAATATGATATAAGAAGAAGCATCATGTTTTTGAACAAGAGGCCCAATGGGCCTGCATTGCTCACCTGGTATTAATCTCAAACTTGTAATCTTAAAAGTGGACTAAAATACAGCTACAGGCAGAATATCAGTGTTTGCTTCATAAGAACCTAATAAAAGAGTTAAACATATGACGCCTGTGACCTTGAATGTCGAACAAGTATATTAGGTTGAAAATGGGGCAAGGTCATTCATTTGAACAAACTTGGTAGCCATTCATCCCAGCATGCTACAGGCCCAATATCAGTACCCTGGGCCTTTTGGTTATTGAAAAGAAGTTGTTAGAAGATTTAATTACATTTGACCCCTGTGACCTTGAAAGTAGGTCAAGTTCATTCATTTGAACAAACTTAATTGGTAGCCCTTCAACCCAGCATGCCATAAGCTCACCTGGAGCTAATAAGAAGGTGTTTCAATTTTCTTTAAAGATTTGATTCATGTGACCTTGAAAGCTAGTCATGGTAATTAAATCAAAACTTTTGAAAGCTGTTACTACAACAAACTACAGGCCAATATCATGACTCTAGGCCTCAAGGTTCTGAAGAAGAAGTTGTATAAAGGAAACCAGTAAATGATTCAACATAACTTTATTTTAGGGTGATATGATTAATTTGTTTATTTCAAAACTAATGAACTACTCAACTAGCTTTAATTTAGCATCCAGGTATTTATATGAAGCATATTCTACAGGAAGCACCAGGATACCACAGGCAGTGATACCAGAGGCTTGCTGCTCTCTATCAGAAAAAGACTCAAATGTCAATTCAGAAATCAATGGTGCCAATTCAATATAAAATATCAGTTCCCATCACTATGAAAATTATCTCATTTTACATGCTGCAATTATATTCACTCATCTGTAGACTAAAATGTGCTTTTTGAGATAGTCTGTAAAAAAAATATTTCGGAGTGTAAAATGTTAACAGTATTGAAGCAGAAACCTTCAGTTGCAGTAATATAATTATGGTCCCTGCTGATGGTTAATGAAATCTAAAAAGTTACACCCTGACAAACCAACAGCGATATTTCTGTAGGCAGCTGATAACAAGGATTCAAAATGGGTCAAGTTTCATTTCAGTTTATAATTATATATACAACATGCATCACTGTTATCAGGGATAGGACCAGACTCTTGAAAGTCCTTCTAAAATAGCTGGATGTAAAATATGTTTAGCTTTCCCTTGTAACCTAGACAACCATGTGTCAATTGCTTATGCAAGTGTCTGAAAGATAACCCATGGCAATAGCCAAGGTTGCCATCATGCTAATGGAAATCATTGTCAATCACTAATATTTGGATAGGACAATGTCAATTAAATGCAAAGGTAACAAATGTGTCAGGTTTTAAATGTTGCAATCTGGCTTCATGCTAGACGGAGTTTCCTTTCTGGAGAGTCAGGGGTTGTAAATTTGATCCCTGGTAGAAACACACTACTGTTCCCAGTTAATTGACAGTATCAGTTTTAAATTCACTCAACGTTTACGGTAAAGAAGAAAAAATTTGCGGAGTGGAAATACGTTTGTTGCGTTGAGTAGATAAGTGTGACAATATCCAAACATGAATATTCATTTATGGATTAATAATATGATATACAACATTTGATATAGCGCCCTATCAAGCTAACATAAGCCATTCTAAAGAGCTTTACAGTACATAGGTATAACAATTAACATATACATTGATTATTACAATTTTGAGGAATTTGTATGAGCTCCTTAATCATCAGGCGCTAACTATTAGTCCTATGCCACCTGGCTAATATCTCCCTATGTGTGTATGCCTGCCTGTGTGCTGGAGATGTAATGTGTTCTGTTTGTAGTTGGACCATGCATGCTTCCAACGGTATCATTTACAGTGCTAACTCACTTGAATGCTACAGCACAGATACCGCAACATCCATCCCAGACCATTTTATGTTCCACCTGGGTTGTTGGAATTGTGTAGGTAGGAGAAAAACACTTTCTCTGAATATTCCATGCGTAGAACGACTTTGGGGATCAAACCCCGGCCGCCTGAGTGGAAGGCCGAAGTGTAACCACTCGACCAATCCACCCAGATTATATATATGCATGTATACATTTTACTGCACATGTAACATTTTGCTGTCCTACTGAAACCCCTGTACATCGCCACCAATGTTATACTGCCAAAACTGGCACGGGAAAAAAGGGTGGCAGTCAGGGGACTACTGCATTTATTACAGGTTCTAGTTTTCAGAACCGTTGCAATGCCAACATTTCAAGACCTCAATCAATTTAAGGAGTCAAAACAAGAAAAATTTCCATACGTGCAAATTTCTACCTTTACAGTATTATAGAAATGTATAAGGGGAAATTTTGCATAAAGATACCCTACATAATGTAATATAGGACATGACACAGCCACCTCAGCCACTGCAACCTGCTTCTTCCAACATATGTACTCGTACAGTGCAGCAAAAAATGATTCCCAGTATTTTTTGGCAAAATGTTTTGATTTTGAAATAAACACAACCTGGCAGCTCCTTGAATCAGACAGACCCTTCTCAGTGGCTATGTGGTAACATTTGTTATGAGTTTGTGTGTTTCCACAAACAGCATTCTCATAATCTCCGCTATTTTACTGCTCGTAAACCGCATGTTTCAAATAATGCATGTTGCTATATATACATGCTTATGTAGGTGAGTTTCAGGCCGCAGCTTCTAACTGTTGGATCTTCTAGCGGTCTGTCAGAAAACATTTCCATCTGTTATTATAAAGATACTGTGATGATTGAATTTGTTCTGTGGCAGTCTGCGGAGAAATAACCTTGCACATGTGTATGCCTACAAGTTGCCAAATGCAAGACATTATTGCAGAAATGTTTTGGCTGGCAAAATTACCATAATCTAGAATTGTTTAAGATTGTTTTTAACACCAAGAACTAAACTTCCAATTATGTTTATAATATTAGAGCAATGGTTAAGTGGTTTAGTGGTTGACACTACCAACTTTTAATCAACTGACCATGGTCCCGAGAAATTTCATTTTCAGCAACATGCAGTAACCTTGACCATGCCAATACTCAATTCTATGCAGTTTGCTCAAAAGAAATATGGTTGATTGAGCGATAATACATGAAAAGAGCGTGATCGTGAAATTCTATTTTTAGTAACAGTGACCTTGATCTTCAACCAATCATGCCCACATTGGAACTTGTCCAATGTATAGCTGTGAAGTTTTATCAAAACATGTCATGAAATATGACCACTAAAGAGATCACAAGGAAGTTACATGGGAGTGACTAATCAACAAAAAGCAGCAGTGAGGAAATCTTCTAAATCAGAATAATATGTTTCGTTTTCGGTCCGGATCAGAATGGTTTCCTGATTAGGATTAATTAGTCACTCCGGTGTAACACCTACAAAATGGCATCGCTTCGGTGGGGGGAAATTTGGAACAATTGAAAACCAAGGACTGTTAGTGATAATAAAGGTGGTTTTGATAAATAAATATCCTATTTATGATTTAAGTGAGATATGTATTGTGTCGTAGATTTTTGCTATCAGCACCTCAAAACTCTCTGATACCAAACGGTGCCAGAGAATTCCACATTTTCATATACATATAAGTAGTGCGTTCTGGCCCCACACCAGACATCTATCTGTCAAAATGTCTAAGTCTGGTATTAGGACCAGAGGAAACTGTTAGGCTACATCCTTACCTGTTCTTTCATGAGATTTTCATTCTTAAATGGATTCACATAATTCTCATCCCTCGGTACCAGATTAACTTCCTGAGCCATCTGAAAAATATAAACAATGATTATCACTTTGCTATGAAGGGCAGTCGCTGTTTTGTATTTTTACATGTACACTGTAGACTTCCTATACCAAAATAGTGTTGTACAAAAGTTTTCAAATGTATTTTAATCAGAAATCATTCTCTTCCTGTCCTGTAAAAATGTCAACATATCTTTGCAATATCTTCAAAGAATCTGTAGTCCTCTTTGGACCAAAAAGCTTTCAAACTTTACAAATATCACAGTTAACAGTGCCAGGTGTTAGGTTTAGTTACAGACAATTAAAAGTCAAGTAAAAGGACATCTAATTTTAAATAAAAAGTTTGCCTTTTAACAAAAATAATACATAATTCAAAAGTTTCCAGAAATCTCCCTTCACCATCAACATGCATGCATGCATTCTTCTTGCAAAAGAGAAAGATCAGCTCATAAAATTCAATGAAACAGAAAATCACTAGAAATTGGTTCAATTCAAAACAGGCAGGTTCATATAATGGTAAATGCATGAATATGAACATCTATAATTAGAAAATATTTTTATCTGTGGCCACCAGCACAGGTAGATACAAAGAATAATGGAGGGAAATGTGGTTGGAGGAATGGAGCATAAGGAGAGGATAGTATGGTTGGGAGGAGGTAAAGTAGTGAGGGGTGACACTGGGGATGAAGATAGGAGTAGAATCGTATCTGGTGATGGTTACACACTCCACAAAACACCTGGTCACCATGGTAATGAAATACTATTACTTAAAGAAAAATAACAAAATCTTTGGACATTTATTCCAAGCATAGTCAGCTTAACCTCACCCAAACTTTTCTTGTACAGTAGTTGTTTTTGTCTGACCATTTTCAAGAAGACAACTGAACTTATGATTTTCATTTTCATTTAATTTAAATCCTAACAAACACAGAATTGATTTTCAGTTTTGGTTTTAATGACAATATCAAGGATATATAATAAAAAACTGTGTAAGCATTGCTAAGCTAACAAGACGTTTTGGATAATTGGGTCCAGAATTTTTACACTTCATCTGAGAGCAGAGATCAAAACATAGACTTTGTACGAATTTTATTGTTCTGAAAATTGAATTTCCTGTTTCTATTCATCTGTCAGTGTAATGTTGATGCAGCATAGACATAGACCTACACAGCAATGAAGAAAAGATCAAAGAATCCTCATTTCTAAGAAGCTCAAAGTACTATCAGCTTAATCATGTAAAACATAAAAATTTTACTGGGCAATTATTTTGCAAACATTTTAATCTACATCTAAGCTGTCAAGAATCAGAGTTCAAAATGAAGACATAAAGACACAACATAGGATTAATAAATTGTAAAATTTTATTTTTCACAAAATATAGAATTTTGAGATATTTGGAAAAGATATTTAAGCTGACAAAGATAAAAAAAAATGAGCAAGCGGTCATTATTGGGCTCTCTGGCTCCTATCTTCTACATCTTCTATATCTACACCTTATGAAGTCTCAGAAGTTACAACCATCATATGATTCTGTAAGAGGCCCATCATAACAGTAGACAGGGCTTACAGAAGCCATCATAATAACATACAGTGCTTTAAGTATAATCTGACAAACGAACATGGGTATGAAAGGGTTCATTCCATTCATATATATATATATATACAACGAGATACAATTCTGCAAACTCTATTCCCGATTACCTTTATTACGATGAGACATAATCTTATTAATTCCGTTTCCACATTCGAAAATCAAGATTTGTTTTTTGAAGCATAATTGGACAAAATGTTTTCTGTTATTATTAATACTATAATATGCAATTTTCATTACATCGTGAGTTTTTGTAAGTTTTGGTTTCAATGCCATTAACCCTTTCACCAGTGTAGACCATAATGGACTCGTCCAGATCAATGCATGGTAGAGTCTACTAAAGTTACATAGGGGTGAAAGGGTTAAATTCAGTTTCAGAATATGAAGGCATTGAATAACATTGCAACAGAACGGTATATATACATGTGTACATTGATTTGAATGAATGCACTTAAACATCTTGTATATATTCGTTCTTAAGATTTTCTGCTGATTTGTGTGGTTGACTTGTATACAAAGTAAAGGAGGGGTAACAATTTCTCAAGTATTTTATGTAATTCTAACTAAACTCCACTTGATCCTAACAATTTTAATGTCAAATTCATCACAACAGAAGATTTGTTTGGAACAATATTCAAGTACGAACAGGGTTTGGCTGGCGAAACACTTGTATGAAATGTGACTATAAAATTGTACGTGATTGATGTGAACAGGGTCCAATGACATTATACAGCATGTACATGGTGACCAATTTAATCAAATTATCTCCATTACATGTCAGACATGCAGTTGGTGGTGATATTCAGTCGAAAATATGATAATATTTGGCAATTATTCAACTGAAGTGCAGAAAGGTCACAGACAGATTGATGAAATAGTCTCCAGTGCAAACGCATCAAGACTGTTAAGTCGGATTGTTTTCTTTACTTTCTTAACAGGCAGTTAAACCCAGTCAAACCTGAATTAAGAGACCACCTTTGGAAAGTCCAGATAGCAGTCTCTTAAAACAGGTTCAAATCACAATGAAATCATTACAGTTGGGAACATTAAAAGTGGTTTCTTTACACAGGAGATCTCTAATGGGAGGTGGGCCCACTACCAGGTTCGACTGTACTATAACAGGAAGTTGAAAAACTGCATTTCCATGAAGACAACATATTCAAAAGAGAAGATTCCTTTTAATGTCAAGTGTCAAAGGGAAATGTGATATTAAGAGAAATGTGATATTAACAGAAATACTTGACTAAATGTATGAAATCATAGAAAGACTACATAATAAGTCACCCTTTTCATCACATAACAAAGCCATGTTGATGACGACAACTCTTTACCAGCTGTCTGGCTATCAAAATAGACCACAATAAATACATTTTTCTAAAATATTACTCTTTGTACTGTAAATGGGTAATCAAGTCTAATTCAACAAATGCCTAATTAATTGGAAATCTTCCTCACTGAAGATACAATACAGAATGTTGACCCCCTTAAGAGGAGTTTGGGACAGAAAAACAGTGTTTAAGGTAAACATGATATTAACCAAACTCTGACATGGAGCAATAGGACATTAGAGGAATTTTACTCTATCATGACATTGACCAAACTCTGACTTGAAGAATTGTGACATTAAGTGGAATTTATTCTATCATGACAGTAACCAAACTATGACTTGAAACAACATGACATTAAGTGGAATTTTATCTTTTCCTTTTTTTGTCTATCCTTCATCATTTTTTGATTCATGCCAGTCCATCTTTCTTTCTCCATTTCTTATTCCTTTCACACTTGATTTCAATCCTTAGCAAGATATCCCGCGGTCTTCCTCATAAACATTCCGAGCCACAAACCACTTCTATAGCGTCACTTGACACATATAAATATTTACATGTATTGGCAAGATGATATTTTTTGATAAAGTGTATCTGCTGTAAATATTTATTTCCGACTATCACATAGAGCACACAGTGTACTCTTCTGCCACAATATTCTAATGTTACTTGCGCAGAGATTTACAACTACTCTCGAACCGCACAATGTTGAAGTGGCCACACACATAACTACTCGCTAAATCTATACTCTCTAACCCTCACTATAAGTGACAATCAAAATAACTACTCTCTAACCCTCACTTTCACCAGAAAAGGAAGATTCTTAAAGGTGAGGGGATGATTTTTTTCCCCTTACCCTGATGACATATTGTCATATATGCACGGTTGACTTTTTGTCATACAGTTTTGTTATGACTGACAAATAGCCTGGTCTTTATGGAAAGACTGAAAAATGTTTCCCTGACCAGGAGTGTTGAAATATTTGTCTAATGGAGGAGAAACAGATACAATTTATCAACAGGTACTTCAGTTTGTTTATGTGTGACGTCAGTACTGCGTATCCCACCAAAGGGTGAGACAGCAGAATCTAACACAAAGTAAAATGTGGGATTAGTCTATCACAGTTGTTGTTAAAAAGATATACTCTGTAGCTCCTCAATCATCAATTCATATTCCAACCTCAAGAAAACTAGCTCCAGACTTCAGACAACTTTCTGGACAATTTCTGGACATCACTAACACCTACAAGCTTCATTATCTATACTTAGTTTTGTAACTGAACATACTAGTGATCTAGCTGAGCTCAATTGTACAACATAAGCAGACTATGGATGCAGTTAATAACTAATTACAGATGTCTCAGCAACATACTCCTATTTAACAGTAGTCTCATAACCCCATAACATTTACAGTATAACCCTCAACTAGGCTGAAGACAAAATAACTTTCCATCTTCTAATGTAACCTCTACAACCATCGCTGAACCCCCAACACAGCCCCCACCAGTCACTGAAGCCTGAACACTGCTGCCCCCGTGCCACAGTCCCTGAAGCCCCAACACTGCCCTCAACACAGTCCCTGAAGCCCAAACTCTGCAGCCCCCACCACAGTCCCTGAACCCCCAACACAGCCCCCACAACAGTCCCTGAAGCCCCAACAATGCCCCCACCACAGTCCCTGAAGCCCCAGCTCTGCAGCCCCCACCACAGTCCCTGAACCCCCAACTCTGCAGCCCCCCACTACAGTCCCTGAAGCCCAAACTCTGCAGCCCCCACTACAGTCCATGAAGCCCAAACTCTGCAGCCCCCACCACAGTCCCTGAAGCCCCAACTCTGCAGCCCCCACTACAGTCCCTGAAGCCCAAACTCTTCAGCCCCCACTACAGTCCATGAAGCCACAATTCTGCAGCCCCCACCACTGTCACTGAACCCCAAACTCTACCCCTGGGACTGTACCTGACCTCTGTGCGCTACCACAACAACCACCTTTCATAACCCCCCTATTTTACCACCACCCCTGTCCCTGAATTCCCAACTCAAACCCCTGCACTATCCCTGACCTCTGTGAACTACCACAAAAACAACCCCTGATAACCCCCTACTCCACC